TTATTACTTGACGAGAGGAGATGATTTGAGAGCAGGAGAGTGAAAAGACGACACATATCAGAATAACCACGAGAAAATGTAATAGGATCAACTGGAGGAGGTCCAACTGATTTATTAGAAAAATCGATTCTTTCAAAAGCTAACGGTGTATGAGGACCAAGTGTTTGTGCCAAAGATTGTGAAGTTTGGTTATTATCAAAATCACCTTCATGAAAAATAGCAACTGGTCGTGGATTATTTGATAGTAGAAATGATAACTGAGCAAGTGATATTCGTAGTAAGTCGATTTCATTTGTTTTAGTGAGATGAACAATGATACCAAGATATGATGTTGGAGAAAGATTCCACCAATTGACAGACCTTTCGAGAGTTTTAATATGATTTTTGTATGATGTTTGCCAATGAAACCATTGACGGGTAATAGTATTTCGCGATTTACATGAATCTTGACTATTAATAGTTTCGTTATCGATATCTTTAGAAAAACATGGTACCGATTGAGAGCTTTTAATAGTAAATCTAACATAAAAAAAAGATAAATCCTATGGTAATGCATGTTAAGATATACAAAAACCGCAATTTGCTTTTAGGTGTTGTAAAACTAGACTCATTTTAGTTGCTGTAATGAGAAAAATAGACAATTTTATATCAATCTGATGGATTCATTCATTCATTCATGCATTGGTTATGGTTATCATGGAAATATGCATAAAAAATATAAAACAGTCTGATACTAATTTGACAAGAAGAAAAGCATGTGTTATTCTTCACTGTGATTTCTCTTTTTAATATTTGATATTAATGTGACAGTCACTGTATTCTGGATTCAATCAAAGTCTAGTAGAGCAAAATTTTAATGTAGCTGTGTGATGACTGTTTTTAACTATTATTTCATTTTAGATTTAAGTGTATCTGAATAGTGTTTTTCATCATTAGACAAATGCCCGCCACTGACAATCCTCCACCTAACTCAAAGAATTCACATGCAAAACCAACACATCTTCTTCGTTTAATATATTATCGATGTCGCACCAAATTTGATTTCTGTCCATATTTATTGTCACACTCGAAAGCGCTTACAAATCGATGTCGCGCCAAATGGAACAAGTACAAACAGTTCGATTAGACTTTAATATGAAACAATATTCAGAAATTTTTTAATGACAATTTTTGCGATCGAAAAAGACGAACTGTTAAAATAATTTTCTCCAATTAATATATTTTCATTATATTGTGTATTTATTTACTGACTCATCACATTGAATTTTTTTTTACTTTTTCTAATTTCATCAAAGTCGTACAAGATATATATAATAACTGGAATCAGTTGATTTCTATCTGGAAAATATTGATTAAATCAAATTTCTTATCATATACCATTGAAATATACTTAGAGATTCATTTTTGATTATATTCTTATGTACGATTCTATATTTAATGTCTCCTTTGTCGGTCTATATATCAATAGCAAGAGACGAATAAGAATATCATATAACAATTAAAATACGCAAAAAGAAAAACAAAAAAAAATAATAAAAGAAGATGTTAACGAATTTTAATTCTATTGTTAACTACTTGATTTTGGACTAGCTGCTCGACTTGTTGTATATTGATCAGAAAAAATGAAAGATGTTGATCCATTTGCTGGAACATGAAGTAAACGACCAGCATTTGGTATTATATTCCATGCAAGTGATAATGTTACATTATTCGATCTAGATTACAAACAATATAATTAATAATAAATTAAAGATATTAATTTAATACAAACCTTAAATTCTCTCCATCATCCCAAAAATAATATTTCGTTGCAATATCATGTAAATAAATACGTGCATTTTCACCACGTCGAATTATTTTATCCCATAGAACAACTTGATTGAGACTCTGCGAATAATAAAGATGTATTATCTTATCTGAGATGTTAATGATAATCTCCAGTTTCTCTGAACTAAATTTTCTATAGATAATATCTTAAGTCCATCTGAAAACATATTGGTTTTCAAAATTTATCATAAAATTTCGAAAACTCTTCAAAGTATTCTAAACAAGTGAAAAACTAAACGTTCGGACCAGAATTTTGTGCTCTTTCTAAATATGAGATCAGAAATGATGTACCTGCTTCATTTTGTTCGAGAGTAGTGAGTAAATCTTTGAAAGGCTTAGCAAAGATAGTTGGGACGGGAAATGGAATCGTACATTTTCGCATTGGAGTTTAATTTGTTGTTTTTCTATCAGTCGCATTGTTGAAAAATCAATGTAGGCAGATGCAGCTCATTGCGAAAATGATTATCGTTGTACTCGTGTAAACATTTGCTTGCTTTACAAAATTATCAAATTGAATCATGTTCATCATCTGTGTACAAGGACTTATGGAGACCTTAAATGTATATTTGTTCTCCATTCACATCAATTTTTTAGGACGTTCACAGATTTCCTTACTATTCTCAAACGAAAACAAGTACATTGTTTCTAAGCCCTTATTCAGAACAAGCGCAAAATTTTGGTCCTAATACTTAGTTTTTCACGTATATAGAATACTTTGTAGAGAGTCACAAATGGGCAAACAATTACTCACATTTGCTGGTGTCACATATTCTGCGATTAAATATAAAAATAATACTTTAACATTCCAATCAAATAATTGATTAAGATCTAACAAATATTTATTTAAATATATCTCTTTCAATTCATATTCAACTTACTCATATCTAAATTCAATTGTAATACACCTAAATCATTCTTCTTTCGATTTGCCGAATAATCAGTCATATGTTTTCTTTAATAAAAAATAACCATTCATTATTATTTTATATACTAAATTTTTTTAAACTTACACAATTGGTTTATTCACTCCAATTGATACAGTTTCATAATATTTTTCAAAATACGTCGATACAAATACACCAATTGTTAGTACAGCAAGAACACTTATTGTAAAAGCAAATAAAGTATTTAATCGACTTAGAAAGGAATGCATCTATTATCTAGAAATATAATAATCATTTTTATCTAACATATTTTGAACACAAAATAAAGAACAGAATTAAGCTCGTAATAAACAAAGAAAAATATAGACTAGTACAATATTTGTGAGAGAGAGAGTATTGTAAAAAGAAAAAGGAAGGAAGAAAGGTAACAATAATTATATGTCGAAATGGAATGTTGGTTTAAGAATATCATTCTTTATTGATCATAAATATTTACAGATATATTATTTCTTATTAGTAGCTAATAATTCATCACAGATATTGGTTAATTCACTATTTTCTTTTTTCTAAAATATAGAAGAAAATGTTTTTTGATAGAATTAATTTATATATTTTCTTTACCTTTTGTTCTAATTCTTGTTTAACAGATTTTAATTCTTGTTCAAGGGATTGAACACGTAATTGTGTATAACGTAATTGTGTTTGAACACCTTCCATATCTGAACCTTGTACTCGTCGTAAACGTTCAATTTCACCATTTGCTCTTTTAATATTAATTAAAAACAAATAATTGAATTCTGATAGACAAAAAAAACATTTTTACTCATTCAGTTTTTCTTGTGCATGTTGTTTAAGAACAGCATATTTTTGTTTTTGTTCTTCTGTATAACGTACAGATTCTTCAGAAAAACGTTTTAATGTTTCAGTATTCTAAAAAAACAATAAATCAAATATTAAAATAAAAATTTTATTTTGGAAAAAAAGAAAACAAACTGTTTTATGTTCATTAATAATCATTTTAAGTTTTTCATTTCGTTTTTTAACATCTGTAAATGCATTTTCAGCATTTATTAAATCTTCACTCATTTGATCACGTTCACCTTTAACATGTCGTAATTCTTGTTTTAATTCTTCTGTACATTCACAAACACGAAAAAGTATTCGATAATATTGTTCAACACATTCACTAAAATAAATATTAAATTAAAAAGAAAAATAATCTATTGATAAACTATTTACATAATTCGTGTAGGATCAAGAGAAGATTGTTGTAAAGTCGATTGCATAGATCGAGGTGCTACAGTACCATCGATTGATACAGATGGTGTACTAAATGGCGATTGTTTATGAATCGTTTCTAATGAATTATCATCAATAATCTAAATAATTATATTATTTCTTCTTTTCGAATAAATGCAAACATACTGCATTAAAACTATTTTCATTAGTTGGTGGTGTTGGCATTTTTCGTCCTTTCTTTTTAAGAATAAATGTATTTGTATCGAATGCTTTTTCATTAGTTAATGGAGATGTTGAAGGTTCTTAATAAATAAAGAAAAAAAATTTATGTCTCTTCTTCTTCCTGGAAGAATAAACTTCGATAGATAACCTTGTCCATCTATGATTTTATTTCCATTTAATTTAATATTTTTTGCTAATCCTGCGATTGTATCAACAGAATTTGGTGATGATTGAATATTTTCTTCCTGTTGTGGTAATTCATATGGATATTCAACTGAATAAAAAAAATTATTTAAATAAAATCTATTATGTAGAGATTATACTCATACGAGAAAATTGAGTTGGTAAATATGATGGAATATTCGTTGTTGTTTCAATATTATTTACAGGTTTCAAAATATTTAAGTCATCTGAATAGAAATATTCTGTTTAATTTTCTTTTTTTCTTTCAAAATAAAACTTTACGAGATGGTTTTTCATCCAATGATTCATTATTATTAGGTAATTCAACAGTTGTATCGAGTACATTATTATTTTTTCCCTAGAAACAATAGTTATCTTATCAATGAATAGAGAGATAATCTCTAAAACTTACATGATCATCTAAAGAAGTATTATCATCTATAATTTGTGGTATAACATCAAATGATTTATTTAATATTGGATTTCTAAAGCAAATTTTTGAAAATAAAAAAAATAATTCTTCCAAAAAAAATAATTCTTGTACCCTTGATGAAAAATATCTTTTTTCTTTTCGTTGTTATTAATACCATTTTCAATTGATGATGTATGTCCATTCATTGTTATTGATGAAGGTGTTATTATATCATGAGTATTATCATCAACATCCATTCGATCAAGACTTTGATTTAATAAAAATGAATTATTAGTTTCATCATTCATTCGTGATGATGAATGAAATCCTATCGAATTCATATCTGTTGTAGTTGTCATTGTCTATAAAATAATTTTAAAAAGAGATTTGCTTATATATGTTTGACTCGTATTTTTTTTTTGTATATATTCTTGTTTAAAAACCAATTTTAGTTTTCCTTTTTTTTTTTTCTTCTGTTTGTTTGTGATGATAATAATAATAAAAAAAAGCAAAAAAAAAAGAAAGAGAGAAAGAGACAGCGTGCATACGCGCAAGAAATAATAATAGCAGTAGTAATAATAACGTGACCACACACAGACGGTTAGAGAAGAAAAAGAAAGAGAGCATCATGGTATCGTCACCAGAAAACAACAACAACAACAACAACAATAATAATAGTAAACGCTCGCACATCACAAATGAAAAGCATTAGTGTATATATGCATGGACTTAAAGACAAAGAATGTGCGAATGAAAAGAAACAAAATAGGATTCACGAGGGTATATAGACTGGTCTCTTTTTTTTTTGTTCACAAACTAAGTGGATATTAAGCTCCCTTTCTTGTATAACGAAATCAAATGGAAGGGTAGCATATACAAAGAGTAAAATAAATAAGCACAGACATGCGAATGCGCTAGAGGAAAAAAAAGAAAGAAAGAGAAAAAGAAAGAAAGAAAAAAACGGATAACAAATATGAATACTATGAGAACAAAAAGAAAAACACCACAGAGCACGATGAACATTTTGAAGCGAAAGAACAACGAATAAGTATCAACAGAAAAAAAAATGTTTGTTTTTTTTTTATACCGAAAGAAATAATAAAATTAAAAATAGAAGAAGAACAACAAAGCAGATCATCACTGTAAACCTTTGTGTGTATGTTCATATTAACTAATGAATTATTCTCTTGGTTTTTCTTCTTCTTCTTCTTTTGTCAATTGTTGTTCATCATCTTTGCTGCTTGTTACACTTTCTGTACTTGTACTACGTTCACGAGAATCATCTGATGTGACTAGAGTTAATGGTGCATCAGCTATTGAACATGGTCGTGATACAGATAAATCATGTTGTTGATTGTCATCATTTGATGATGATGATGTTGTAGTTGAATCAATAGCACTTGTATCATTTGAATCTTTACTTGGTGGTGATGAAGAATCTAATACTGAATCACCATTTTCATTTCGTTTTGTTATTTGTTGTGAACCATTTGTATTAGAACGATTTATACGTGTTATTGATGTTAATGGTGGTGGATACATATATAATGTACCTGCAGAATTGAATGGAAATGGTGGAGCTTCAGGCATTATAAGGTAGCCATCAATTGATGAAGGATAATAATTTGTACGTGGTGGAAAATATCCATTAGCAGCTAACATATTTATATCGGATAGTGGAGGAATGAATGGATACTATAATAAGAGAAAAGAAATGACACGTTAAAAATCAAAACGAAAGTTTATCTTTAATAAACTAGAGAATGTTTACTGATAAATCTTTGATCGAAAACAGACAATTATATTTCTGTCAATATAATGGGACGATATGCATTACATAACTATTCATCATAATAAATTCTATGAGTACTTGAAAAAAATAATATTAGATATCAAGAGTCTTTCAGCTTAATAAATTTTCTTATTCGATTGAATAAATATCTTAGTTAAATATTTACAAAGATACTTTCATACTATTCGCTCGTTTTTACTGATTAGAGCTTGTCAGATTAGACCGAAATCTGCATAAGCAAATTTTGAATCTATTGTTTTATGATAACAATATAATATTAAATTTGAAAACTTACAAATTGTTGATCACGTGATATCATTTTTAAATTACCAAAATGAACTTGATCGTAATTATTGTAATCACGAAAAAGAACGATACAATAAGGTGGTTGAATTTCCGTAATAGTTGCAAGATAGAACTATAAAATAAAATTATGATAAACAAAAACAAAAATATTTATAATTTACTTCTCCATCTTCACTCCATCGAGCTAAACACATATCACCTATTTTCCATCGAATTCTTTGATTCTAAATAAAAATACATGTATTCATTTTTTTCTTATAAGAAAAATAAAAATCTTACAGAATTCGAATCTCGATGTTTTTCATTTTGTAAATTTGTATCACTATCATTTGTTGTTGGTGGTGGTGGTGGTGGTGATGTTTGTTTTTGTTCAGTTGAGGAAGATTCCGATTTAATTCCACTATCATTATTCTCATCATTTTGACATCCTGTACTTATTGTAGTTTCATTATCAGGATGTATAATACCATCAGTTTTTGTATCACCATTTAAACTAGGAAGATAAGTTGGAGCTCCATAAGGTGGTGCATAACAAAATGTTATATGATCATTTGGATATGGATGTCCAATAAGTTGTTGTTGATTAGGAAATGTTGAATTTGGAATACCAGCAAGATTATATGTTAAAGGACCCTATGATTAAAATACAGAGAACAAAATCAAGAATAAAAAAATTGATTAATAATATTACTGAATTAGTTGGATAGTACGCCAGATGAGTTGGTGTAGAACCATTTATACCGGCAAGCATATTAGCATTTTGTGCATAAGAATTATGTTGTTGACCAGTAGAAGAATTATTATGAATATATGATGTTTCATTTCCATATGATAAGGAAGACAATGATTGATTGCTTGTTGTATCATTACGATAAATACTATTTATATCATTTCCACATATTGCATCATCATAAAAACGATTTGTATTTCGACGAGTACGTTCTTCTTGTGCACGTTGAAGTCTATTATGAAAAAGAAAGAAATGGATATCACTATGAAGTTTTCTATTATTGAAATAATAACGAATGCGACATAAGAAATAGGTCTCTCAGTATTTTAAGATAATCTGTACAAGTTTCTAACACGACCCACTTCCAAACTCTTCGTTTTTATATTACCGATTTCGCGCCGCTTCTTTGATTGAATATAAAGAAACTTAATAGGCCATTTCGCGGACAATAAAAAGTTGTATCTGACCTACTCTATTCGCATTCATAAGATCTACTACAATCTTCAAAGTTTATAATGAGAATGATTGTTTCCTAGAATCTTTTAAAAAAATATTCAAGTCCATACGTTATAATTTGAGAGCGATCATTTTTTAATATATTCTAAACATCTGTGTTACGCCTAAGTTGATAGAATGTTTGAAATAACTATGACCAAATGTTTTCTCAAGAAATATTCTCTTTAAAATGTCAGAACATTGTAGTTTCTTAATATTATGCTTAATAATAGCACGCATCGGTCGGAACCAGGTAAAAATAATTCTACTTCAGTTTTGAAAAACAGAAATAGTTGCGTGTAAGATCTTATTATATTTTTTATAGTAATTGCTATAATACTCTACGGAAGTAAAACTCATTGAATTCAACATTCTTATGCTATTTCGAAGGAGCATTGCCCTCTTAAAGGTTATTGATCCTTGAGATTCTGATATAGAGTCAGTTGGGTTCAAACTCGTTCTACATACTTTTCTAACAGTAAACTATCGGTAGACAAGTTCTAATACATTTTTATTTCTAACTACAATGTTGACCTAATTCTCTTTTTTTGACCTACATTTTTCTTTCTAACGTCGAGGCTATACACGCACGAAACGACCTTTCTGAATATATACTCGTGGATTTTGTTTTTCTCTGTTAGATATTACTCACCGTGGTGGTAAAGGATTTCGTCGTTCACGATAATTTGCATGTGAAGGATCATCTTCGGGATCTAATTGTTCATCAATTCCATCTTGATGGAAGATAATTTGACCATTGTAATTATTATTATTATTATTCAATGTATGATGAGATTGATAATTTGTATTATTCGTTGAATTCGTATCATTATTATATCGACGTTTATCATTACGTTCTTTGGGTTTTTCATTTTCAGTAACATTTGATATTTTTAATGTAGTCATAAAATCCATTAAAGTATTTTTTGGTGGTGGACGTTTAAGAAAATTATTATCACCATCTTCATTATCATATCGATTATTACCTATTGATGAAATGATAATTATATTCTATAGAGATTCAAAAAAAGAAAAGAATACATACGTCGTCCTTCATATGAAGGTCGATAAGAACCATTTCCGCGATCCTAAAGTAATACAAAGAAATATAACTTCGTTGTTTTATGATTTAATTCAATACGAACTCGAAAGCCTGGTCGAGGTCGAGGAAATTTATTTGAACCATATTGAAAACGTGTATTCTCGTGTGTTAATTGAAGTAAACCATTTTTTATTTGTGTAATATCAGTTAATAATAATTTACTTCCAAGTTTTGTATTGAAACTAAATAAACGAATCATTTAAAACAATAAAAGAAAATATGATGTATCTATTACGTTAAATTAGGAATAGAATCATTTGTAATTGCTTTGACAGTCATAATACCATCGGTGAGTGTTAAAATTAAATAATTATTATCATTTGTCTGTTGATTTTGATCATTGTTTATCTGAATAAATGGCTCAATTGCATCGATTTGCAAAAAGAATGTGCCTTTGATCTAAATTCAAATATATATTCATATGATTAGTTAGTTGTTTATTAATACAATAATTTGTCTGAATATCAAAAGGTAAATATCATCGTCACACCTTTTATGTACAGGTGTAGTCCATTTGTACCCAATGAACCAAAAATGAAATAATTCGGCACGTACTACTATCTATACTAATCTAAAATTTTTGAAACACATTCTCAGATTAACTATGTGTGGGTAGTGTACGAAAGTTTTTCCCGGAGCATTTATGATTTCATATTTACTTCCGGCGGTTTCGAACTGGTCAACCCTCGGACTTCAAATTGAATAATATCAAATTCTATCTACATTGAATTTTTCTGGACGTACTTCTTATTTAGTATTGTAACTCTGTTGAAAAAAATCTGTACTGATGGCCTTGAAAGTAGGGGTGTGGTTAAACCACACCTTTTCATGATGCGTAAGTTTCGAAATTTTTTTCCCTGTAAAATTCAACTGACGTTTTTTCATTTCATAAGGCTTAGTCATTCGCAAGACAAATAACCCAAAGAAAACAATGCTAAATCTTTTTCAAATTTATTTAATATCATTAAAAAATAGAAATTTTAATCTTACTGAAAATTTCGATATTTGACCATTGATTATTCCGAATAAATCTTCAGGTAAAGGTTTACATGAAGCTGTTCGATGAAAATCCACCTTAAATAGAATATAAAATAAAATTTTCTTATCATAATATATATAATTTTACTTCTTGATAATCTTTAATAAATTGAAATGATCTTTCAGGATCATTGGAATTCGTATTATTTACACCGTTATTAACAGGTGTTGTTAATTCTTCTTTGGATGCTATCACAGTTACCATATTAAAATATTCGATGGATAATGGAATTAATTTAAATGGATGGGGAAAAAGAGGAAAGGATAAACGATGAACTTCTTCTCGTCAATATTTTCTTATCAATCTAAAAACAAAACAATTCATCGATCTTTGCCTTTTTTTTGTTTTGTTCTCTATTGTATTGTATGTCCGCGCTTTCTTACTGTTGTTTTTTTCCAATATATCTTCTATATCCATGAAATACCATTTCGTCATTAGTAACACCAATGAGAAATAAAACAAATAAAATGTCGCTTTTGAAAAAAATTCAAAAATTTCTTGATAAATATTCTAATTTTATAAAAAATATGATTTTTAAAATAATTTTTTTAAGTTCATAAAAAAGAGAGACACAATGTTTGATAACACACAAGATGGCTTGTATATTATTTAGTCGTTTATTTATTATTCGAATGCGTCGTTTGGAAGACGCAAATTTTTATTCAAAACAAAAATGATTGAAATGAGAATAACTTTGTATTATTATATTTTTCATATATAAAAATAAAAGGTAAAATTAATCTAGGAAATGTGTTATTGTAATAGTATAAAATTATTTATTTAGTTATGGCCGATCTACAGGCCGAAATTGAATTAACGGTTGAATTAAGAAAGTTTGTTAATATCGATTTATTTGTGCAAGGGTAAAAAATTTCTTAGAAAAAAAACAAAGTTTCTTGAATTATTTTTTTGTTTTAGATATTATCAAATTCGTACAGGAATTAAATTCGCACCACGAATTCAATCAGCAACAAAAATTGAAATTAAATCTGAGCTTTCTTCTGTGATTGGTAAGATGAAAAAATAGAAAAAAACAAACTGTTTTTCTTTTCTCTTGAATTTAGATGATACAAATGATTCTATTTATCCTGCATGTGTATTTAATGATTGGGGTGTAAGCAAAACATTTTTAATCATATTTAAAAATGAAGAAGTACAATTGGATGATCAATTTAATTTTAAACTTTCAGTTATTGTTGACGCGCAAAATGTAAGATAGAAAAATGGGTTTCATTGTTTTTTTTATATAAGTCCCTCTTTTTTTCTCTTATAGATTAACGAATGTTTCAATCGATTGGATATGCAACTTTTGGTGGAACTTTACTTTTTGGAAAAAGATTATTCGTATGTATTGTTTTTTTGGCCTAGAAGGAAATTTTATATAGTAGAGATACATAGGACTGCCTTGCGATGTGGCGCCATTCATTGGGTCGAGAGAAATACCACATGAGTAAATCATCGATTATTGAAAAACAATAATCAATATAAGATAAGGATAGTGTCTGCTACAGCATTCTTTATATACTTAAATAAATACGGAATAGCGACGATGGGCAATGCAGATTTGTGTAAGTTTTAGTCATCTGTCCAACTTTAGATTTATAACTTATCCGACTATGAAAACAGCTTTCGGTTGAAGCCCCAAGGATTTCCTATAAATTCACTAGGTATCTCAAATAGCCCAAAGTTGCCAGAGGTAGTCAAAGAGATTATGTAACTTTTCTCTTCGTTTTCGCATAAGCTTATCGTCTGAACTACATCATAAACGCTTAACGCAGTTGCCCTTACAAGCATGAAAGTTTTTATTAATTTTTAGACCGGAAAAAATGCCAACGATGCAACAGTTATGTAGTCGATGTTATAAACTCCATTTTAATCCTCGATTTGGTATTCATACTCATGTGCCCATACTTTTCGATTATTTCCATTTATCAGCATTAACTACTACTGTTCATGGCTCATTACTTTGTCTCATTCCACCTTATGTTTTTGATCGGTATGAATTATCATTATCTTTTATGTTTCTCTAACAATATATTTTTATTTTAGACCAGCTGTACGGCAAACTTCACTATTTAGTTTTCTTTTTGGCCAAGATCTTTCACAAGTATTTTATTTATTCTTTTTTAATAGATTTTTAATTTTATTATTATTCTATTAGATTACAACCGAACAAATAAATCCTAGTCTTTTACAACGTGCACATAATCTTCATAATAATATTTGTGAAATTCTTCTTTCATCATATGAATCTCTACAAGATTTTTATGAAACTATGCTTGAACATCTTCCTAACAATGATGAAAAACCAACACATAGTAAAATTTTATTATTAAATAGTTTTCATCTATACTTCTTATATTTGTCTTTATAGTTCATCAAAAATGTCAACAAAAATTACGTAGTCTTTGTGAAAAATTAAAAGTAATTTCCTTTGCATAATATATTAAAATTCTTCAATAAAATTCTTTTTTTTTAAGAATATTGATGATATCCATACAATTGATAATCTTGCACATGCACATATTGCACAATGTTCAGCAGAAAATATAATGCTTTGGTGCCAATTTATTCAAACATTTGGTGTACATGAATCAACAGCAATTGTTCTTTCGAAAGAATATCATTTTAAACGCGTGAGTCATTTTGTTTGATTCTTTCGCAATACACATAACATATATTTTTTTGTACTATACAGGTAAAACGCCTATCTGAAGGTTTTTTTCATCGTGAAATATCACGAGCAAATTTATTAACAAATGAATGTGATTCATATAATGATTTACATGATCTTGTTCGAAATTCTCCTTATTATTCACGTTTACCAGCATTAACAATTGAATGTGTAGAACTTGATGGAATACCAGATAATTTACCAATACTTATTGAAGAAGTTTATTCAGCCATGGAACAAAAAATAACACCAATTTTATCGTCAGTAAAACCCAAATCTCATAGTGGAAGTATTAATGATAATCCAATTGTACAAGCTGTTCAGAATTTTAGTAAGAATCTCATGAAAGGTATCTGATCTTGCTCTATGCCCATAGAATAGGGCTTGCATGATTATGATTACTACAATATATAGTTATAACACTAGTATGGTGTTTAGTTAGAAGCTTTAGTTGTGAGTAGTGTTGTGTTACTTTGTTGTAAACTATTTGTATTCTTATACTAGATCTACTTGTAATGTTATATAGTTATGTATCTTTTTAATTTAGGCAAATATCGTCCAAATTTTGGCCTTTGTCTTAGCGGAAGTATGGATGAAACAGTGCTAAGTTCTCTTTCCAAACCTCCTGAAACACCACCATTAAAAGCTCATAAACAACAACTACAACAGTCTCAATCGGTGAAAACATCTACTACAGATTCAAATCCAATTTCAACACCAAAAGTTCGTCAATCAGGAAAAAATCTTCTTTCATTTCGTACTCAAACACCAACAAATGTCAATCCTATTGTAGCATTTTCTCATGATCCATCTATTCAATTAACTTCCTATCGTAAATTTGATCACGATAATACTCCAACATTATCTTCTACAGCTACAGCAACAACAGCAGCACATGAAAATAATTCTAGTCCATCACCAAGCCTTTTTGCTTATCAATCAGATTCAGATATAACCAATTCATCACGTTTACAGAAACATCCTAGTCGTTATTCATTACCTGATGTACCATTCCAACGCAATAATACTAATAATAATACAGTAGTAACAAAACTTGATTCACCAATGCTTCCTCAATTTTTATGTACAACACCCGATAAAACTGATGAAGTTTTTCTAGTAACAAATGATCAAGAAAAAGCTGTTGCTGCATCAACATTTGGCGATTCAAGTATGAAATCAAAAGTTTTACAAGCATCATTTCGTGGTAAAGCTAGTACTATGGATCGTCGAACAACAGCAATAACAACACCATTTCGTTCTCAATCAACTTCATCATCAACAACAACAAATAATCATAATAATAAAAAACATATATATACTCAACCAAAATATTTTACAACAAGAACAAATGAGAATTCAACAAATGGACCTGCAAATTATTCACTTGATTCAGTTCTTAATTTAACTTTACAATTAGAACAAACAGCAACAGCTGATTATCATCGGCGACATACAATATCAACAAATGATATTGATCCATTATTATTAAATGGTTTAACTGATGATGAAAATACATTAAATTTAATGGAAAAAACAAATGGACATCATTTACCTATGATTATTGATGATGATCAATCAACAAAATCGGAAGAAAATGATCGAATACAAACAAATTCATTAGCTAATAATCAAACAATTGAATATGTTGGTTATAAAGAAAAAATGAAACAAATTCTATCAACAAAATATTCATCAAATTTAATGTTTTATTCAGATTTTTCATCACTTGTATCAACAATACCATATTTTTATCAAGAAACTATACCATTTGATTCGAATGGTATACATCTTATTATATGTGTACATGGTTTAGATGGTAATTCAGGTGATTTACGATTAGTTAAAACATATCTTGAATTATGTTTACCAACATGTCGATTGGATTTTCTTATGTCATCTTCAAATCATTCAACAACATTTGATGATATTGATATTATGGTTAAACAATTAGTTGATGAAATTGATACACATATTGAACGTTTTGGACTTAAACCACAACGAATAAGTTTTGTTGGACATTCATTAGGAAATCTTGTTGTACGTGCAACAGTTGCTCATTCACGTTTTGAACGATATAGAACATTACTTTATACATATCTTTCATTATCTGGACCACATTTAGGAACATTATTTAATTCAAGTGGTTTAGTTAATATGGGAATGTGGTTAATGCAAAAATGGAAAAAATCATGTAGTTTATCTCAAATGTCATTTAAAGATCACGTTGATCCAAAACAAACCTATATATATAAACTTAGTAAAAAACCTTGTAAGTTTAAAATACAAAAAGCTTCATTTACTTTATTCAATCTACCTTTATTATTTTAGGTTTAGAATATTTTAAAAATATTTTATTAATTGCTTCACCACAAGATCGTTATGTTCCATTTCATTCGGCTCGAATTGAAATTTGCAAAGCAGCATTGAAAGATACAGTTTATGGTTCGTTATTTATTTAACAAAAAAAGAAAGATTTCTAGGAAAATCAGTAGCATGAGAAGAAAAGTATTTACAAAACATAGGCTATGTTAGATAGAAGCATCCATCATGATTATGAATGAAAAAGAGAGATGAGTTAATACTCGCTTTGTTTGATATTTTTTCTCTAATCCTGCTTTAATTAATAAGACTTACAATGTATGTCATTAAAATTTTCAACATAATATTTTTGTCAATTTTTTCAGGTTCGGTTTATGTTGAAATGATAAATAATTTGCTTGAACCAATACTTCGTAATCCATCAATAACATTTGTTCGCTATAATGCTTTTCATAATATTCCATCAGGCACTAACAATTTTATTGGTCGTGCAGCTCATATAGCAATATTAGATTCAGAATTATTTGTTGAAAAACTTATCTTAGTTAGTGCAGCTAAATATTTTAAATAATATTTATAAAAAAAAAGAGATATGACTAATACATTCTTACTATTTCCCTATTTAACCGGTTTAATGTCAATCATTTGTACTGCAATGGCTTTTTTTCTTCTTGTGTGTTTGTTAGTGCTCTTCCAAATTCATAATTATCAACAATATGTTTTTTTTTCTTTTTTGTTTTTTTTCTTTCTTTCTTCTTTTCTTGTCTTCGATCAGATATTTAATGTACACATACGAACAAACTTACAATGACAAAAAAAAACAAATAATGTTCATGCAACATTTGTACATATATATACATATATATATATATTAATATAAACTAAGTAGTCAGTAAACTTTATGTATTTTTCAGATATTTAACGTATATTAAAAATACAAAATGCCTTTAGCTAAAGATCTTCTCCATCCATCTATTGATGAAGAACGTCGCAAACACAAAAAGAAACGACTTGTGCAAAGTCCAAATTCATATTTTATGGATGTTAAATGCCCAGGTTGTTACAAAATTACAACAGGTAAAATAAAAATCTTTTTTTTTTATTAAAAAACGTTTCTTTTGTTCCGTATCTTTTTAGTTTTCAGCCATGCACAAACAGTTGTTTTATGCGTTGGTTGTAACTACGTTCTCTGTTCACCATCAGGTGGCAAAGCACGTCTTACTGAAGGTTGTTCATTCCGTAAGAAACGTGATACACCATTAGCACGCAAAGATGATACTGAACGAAATTAAATGATTTTGTTTTTTTTTAATCAAGCAAACACAAGGCACAACAGCAACTAAATCGTTTTGAGATTTTGTTTTCTTTTCATCTTTTATTGTGTGCATTTGAAAGAGAAAAAACAAGAAAATAAATAAAAATAAAACATCATTGAAAAAACTAAATAACAAAGAATTTTAATTATCTTCAAAATTTACATATGAAAAAGAATTTGATTGCGTATTAATTGAAATTATCAACTAAGTAATAATCGTATTAAAAGAAAGAAATTTCTCTATGATCCTTATAATTAAAATACTGTTTTTCATTGAAGGATAGCGCTTGAAATTCTTTACATAGCTGATGTACCTTTTGTTATAGAGTGAATTCTTTGTAAATTATGAACTCTTCATACTGCATTCTTCAATATATTTTGTGTTTTTAACAAGGTAAAGTACAGCCATTGGTTACATCTTTTTTTAATTACATTTAAAATAATATAGGGATAATATAGGAGAAATCTTAAAAGTACGGATAAAATGTCTCTTTAAAAAAATGGAAGAGAATTATCAAGATAATTTTAAAAGAAAAGGATTTACAGGTAAAATATTTGTACTTATTAACAACGATATACACAGCTCACTAATATCGATTTTTGTTAAACAGGTGTTTGAGAAGAACGCTTATAACTTTCGAACGCAAAATGAGAGAGACTTGCGGTTTTCACTATTGGATATAGGACATGACGGTACATGAGACTATGTAAAAATAAGTCTGTTATACTAGACACATGCTTATAGCGTTATGATGTCAGTGTCCAGATAGGCTTCAACCTAATTTTAATACCCTAATAATTAGACTTCGTCCATGATTATTTTCGATTTTCCTAAAACTCATTTTCTAGACCCCTTGGGTACTTCTCAGGTATCGAAAAAACCCTTCTATTGCTGATCCTCCATGATTACTTCTAGATCGATATCATTCGTTTTACTGATTACTGGGGATGTGCATTGTCAGTGAAAATACTGAAAAACGGACACTTAAAATATCAGTTCGGTGCCCACTGTGCCACTGAAAATATCGGGGTCAGTGTTCACCGAACACCGAAAATAAGTGTCGGTGTTCACCAAACACTGGATATCAGCGTCAATAACACTGTTGACTAAAATATTTTTGCGCTAAACCTTAGTATTTACAACAGTATCTTTGTGTTCACCGAAAAACTGGCACGGTGGTCACTGAAACTGATACCTTCGGCGTTCTGTGAACACCGACACCAATATTTTCAGTGGCACGGTGAACATCGTTGTCAGTGAAATTCAGTGCTCATTAAACCGACACTGCACATCCCTACTGATTACCAATATCACCTCTTTTTAGTAACTAATCTGTAACGACCACTATTCGTTGCTATATTCGTATTAATTCAATTTTGGAATACATATGGATATATTTTATTCATATATTAGATAATTTTGATATAAATCTAATACCGTCAATAAATTCATCTGTGTTTTAATAATCGTTAATTCATTCTATTAAAAGTACTGATAGTTAGATGTCAGAAAAAAATTCTTTCGATGTACACATTTAAGAATAACATCATTGAAAACAATAATTATTATGCTCTTAATCTTAACTGTCAAATAAAGTTTCTTACGTAAATATTTTTCAATCGACTTATTTCATTGAAGTGTTTATATAGTCGGTGATGTATCAATCAATATAGGTTCGATTTAATATAAAGTTTTCAAGTTTATTTATTTATCGCACTTTTATTAAATAACCTTGCATAGCAAAGATCTTCATATTATTATCGAATTATGACCATGAGTCGAACATACTTGAAAGTCTTATTATTCAAAAGTCTCATTAGATGTATAATCAAAAAGCATTGAACAATGAGACTACTACAGTATTTTCTCATTTTATACTCTTTAATTGTATTTTTCAGGTAGTTTTAACTTATCTGAATGATATTAGAAGTAACAAAATATTGATAATCATTCATATCGATATCTATTCAATTGTGTTGTAGTATATCTTAATATATACATAATTATACTGTAATAAAAATAATGTAGATGTCAGTAAATGTCATAAAATTTATTTCTTTTCTAATTCGCAGCAAAATAGTATTGGTTGCATATATTTATACCTAGTTGACAAAAAGACTCTTCTTTTCGGCTTCCTTATTAAAAAAAATTGTACAAATACAAAAAAAAAGAAAGTTTTTATTTACAAAATCCCTTTGTTAGTTTCCTATGACATATTTATTTAAATTCAAAATTTTTCAAACATTTATGTTAAAATCATAAGTTTTAGTATTAAAAAAAATGAATTTGTAAAATTTAATTAGTATTTTGTCAGCAATTATTGATCACTATGTACAGTGGAATACCTCGAACTGTCGCTGATCTTTGGTATGAATTTTTTCATTCTATTATTTTTTATTATTTTCTATGTTATATAGTGAAAACGATGATCTTGCTACAATGATCATTGTTGATAGTATGTTTGGATTTACAACGCATAAAATGAATGTACGTTTTCGTCCAAATCGTCGTCTATCACCACAATGGAAATTAGTCGTTGAACAATTTCAACAACATCTTGATTATGAACGATGTTTTACTGAATTAACTTCTATTGGAAATTGGTATGATCATTTACTTGCACGAAAAAGTCCAACACAATTAACTGTATTTAAAGAACATGTAAGAGAAAAAGAAAAAGAAAAAATCTCTCTAATAAATAATTTAGATGTTTCGTTTTCTTCATTTATTCAATAAAAATTCCGGTGTTACACTTCAACCATGTTATCGATATTCAACAGAAAAATGTGGAGGAAAAGTAGTTGCTACAAAAGAATGGTAAAATAAATTCTTTACCATTAAAATAGATTTATATATATATATATGTGCATCCTAGGGCGGTTAATGATAAAATTGAAATGTTAATTGGATGTATTGCTGAATTAAGTCCTGAAGAAGAACAAGCTTTACTCAAACCAGGTATTAATGATTTTTCAGTGATGTATTCTTGTCGGAAAAAATGTTCACAATTATGGCTTGGACCCGCCGGTAATTAAAAACAAAGAATTTACTTCATATTTTATTGTGTTATTTTCTATTTAGCTTATATAAATCATGATTGTCGAGCAAATTGCAAAGTAAATTTATTATTTGATTAGATTCGATGAATGTTTTGTGTTTTCTAGTTTGTAGCGACAGGTTTAAGTTCAGCTTATATTCATGTACTTCGTCCAATTGATGTTGGTAATGAAATAACTTGTTGTTATGGATCGGATTTTTTTTGGTGATAATAATTCACTTTGTGAATGTCGAAGCTGTGAAATGTAAATTAATTTCATATTTTCTAATTGTTTAGATTTATGTAAAAATAAATTTCAGGTTTGGTAAAGGAACATTTGCAGAAACAAATCCGTCTTTAACAAATCCAGATCTTAGTACTATTCAAACAGTTTCACCATCTACACAGGATCCGCAATCAACAACAACAACAATAACAGATACACATCCAGTTGTTTCTACACGTTTACGTCAAACTGATAAACGTCTACTGCGTAAGATACATCCAACAAATGTTGTCAGTTCAACGCAAGAGAAAAGTATAGAATTTAATCAATAATAATATAAATAGTATAATTAAATTTTTAGAAAAATCTACAGATGGAACGAATACATCCACTACTAAACCAACAACGGTAGTTTATCGAAATAAAAATGGTCAATTTGCATCTCCACCTGATGGATCGAAATCAACAGGAACAGTAAATAACTTGTTTTTTTTTGATAGACTATTGAAATCTAATATACTTTCCTGTTTAATAATTTAGTCATCTAGAAAAAGGAAAACAAAACAAAAGAGTAGATCATCATCATCACAATCATTATCACCTTCATATCCTTTGCCAAATTCAAATAAAGTAATATCATCACATCGACGTCCAAGTAGTTCACATTCATCAGTATCAAAATCACCGGTGACCAATACTCGAAATCAACCATCAGCAACAGATTCAGCAATTGGTTCAGATGGTACTACTAGTTCTAATTCACTTTCAGTAACAGTAACAAATAAATCAACTACTGGAACGAATTCAAATGTATTTAATAACTGTTGATTTTTAAATAAATTTATAAAACAAAATTTGCTCTTGATTTCTTTAGTTATCTAATATAAGTACACGACCATCACGTCGTCCTTCATCAGCATTATCAAGTTCATCATCATCAGCATCATCATTTTCATCATCATCACGAATATTTTTTAAAAATCGTGAACGAA